GAGTCCAGGTGGGGGAGGGGCTCTCAGGCGCCACCCACCTGCTCCTGGAGGCTGCTGGGACAGCCTGGAGGGGCGGTGTGTAGGAGCAGCCTGAAGGCTCTCCCATTGCATGGATTTCAAAAATGTTTGGCACCAAAATAAATTTATCTTTTCATTTCCCCTTCCACAAACTTCTAACAGAAGTACTCTTCTATTAATCAAAGACTGTTAGTTTTTTTTAAAAAAAATTATTTATTTGAAAGAGTGACAGAGAGAGAGAGAGAGAGAGAGAGAGAGAGAGAGAGAGATTCTATCCACCGGTTCATTCCACAAATGGCCGTAACGGCAAGAGTTGGACTGAGAGGAAGCCAGGAGCCAGGAGCTTCCTCCAGGTCTCCCACATGGGTGCTGGGGCCCAAGCTCTTGGGCCATCCTCTGCTGCTTTCCCAGGTGCATCAGCAGAGAGCCCGGTGGGAAGTGGAGCAGCTGGGACTCCAACAGCAACTCCGATGTGGGATGCCAGCAATGCAACTGGAGGTTTAACCCGCCACACCGCAACGCTGGCCCTTTGTGACTGTTCATTGTCTGTTTTCCTCTGATATTTTTTCGGTCATAAGGTGTGTTATGCCTACTGATTGTTTTCCAACGTGAACCTCTGCGTATGCACATTGCTAGGGGTCTTGGATGATTTTACCATCCGTCCCTTGGACAAGGCTCACTCTTCTTTGGCTGACGTGTGCAAGCCCAAAGCAAACATGAGGACTTTGGAGAAGCCAGCTGCTCTTCAAGTGTTCTGGAGCCAGCACCTGACTCAACGGAGGCTCTGCAAACCAGAGGAACTCTGCTGGGGGCTGCCTCTGGAGAGGAGGGGCTGGCAGCCCACTCAGAGAAAACCCAGCCTCTGGCCTCAGGCAAGAGTCCCAGGGCCAGGTGGGCCTCAGGACGGCTGTGTCCCCAGCCACGGCATGAGGAGCCAGAGCAGCTGGCGGCTGACCAGTGTCCGTGTCACCTGCACTCACTGCTCTCTCTCACCACCCCAAACTCTCCCCAGTACAGAAAGATGTGTTTGTGGTAGACAGTCCCAAGGAGAGGGCTGTTGGGGTGGGCTGTCAGAGACCTGAGCCAGGTCCAGGATACAAAGTGAGATAGGGGAGGGGAAGGAGCTGGAACGGGAGTGCTCATGAGCAGAGAGCTGCTGAGGGCGCCTGGGGCTCAGGGTTGGGGGGCGGGGAGGCGGGATTGAGTGTGCCTCACAGGTGTCTCCCTTGGAGCAAGCAGCCAGCGCTTGCCACCTGTCCCAGGGCCTAGCACCCTCCTGCGCCCCCTGCAGGCAGAGGCTTGCAGGTGCTGGCAGTGCAAGCCATTGGCACAGCGGCTGTGGGCACTGGGATGCAGCCTGCGGCAGGCACTGATGTACTCACCGCTGGGAACGAGCTCCTGATGTCTGAAAGGAGCCTCCATGGCCAGATCAACAGCATCTGATCCAGGCTCCGATTCCTCTGGTTCCCCCCACCCCCATCCATAGCTCCAACTTCTCCCTCTTTTACATCCATTCCATACAGTCCAGCTTTCCCCAAAGACATCAGTGAAGCACTTTTCTATTCTGCAACTGGCAGGATTAAAAAGACATGGAAGGGTCTGGAAGTACACACTTCAGTAAAATTCCTTGTAATTCTTATACCACTCTCAGATTAGACAGCTCATCACTACACCAAAAAAGAACCACGTTAGGGGCCAGTGCTCTGGTGTAGTAAGTTAAGCATCCACCTGCAGGGCCAGCATCCCATATGGGCGCTGGTTCAAGTCCTGGCTGTTCCAATTCCTATCCAGCTCTCTGCTATGGCCTGGGAACGCAGTAGAAGATGGCCCAAGTGCTTGGGCCCCCACACCCATGTGGGAGACCCAGAAGAAGTGTCTGGCTTGGGATTAGCCCAGGTCTGGTCATTGTGGCCATTTGGGGAGTGAACCAGCAGATAGAGACCTCTCTCTGTCTCTTCCTCTCTCTCTGTAACTCTACTAGCAAGTAAATAAATAAATCTTTTATTTTTTAAAGAACCATGTTAATACAGAAGGGTACTTAAGAACAATCCATGGAAAATGTGATTAGAAGGTAAGTTTATTTTGTTGCAATTTTTTTGAAGTCTATGTAAACAAAGTGTCTTTAAAAAGTTCATGTGTGGCCGACATTGTGGGGCAGGTGGGTTAAGATGTCACTTGAAGAGGGGGCATCCACACATGGGCACCAGTTCAAATCCTGGCTGCTCCACTTCCCATCCAGCTCCCTGCTAATGTGCCTGGGAAAAGCAGTGGAGGACGGCCCAAGTGCTTGAGCCCCTGCCACCCATGTGGGAGACCCAGATGGAGTTCCTGACTCCTGGCTTTGGCCTCACCCAGACTTGGCTGTTTGGACATTTGGGGAGTGAACCAGAGGATGGAGGTGCCCCCACCCACTTTCTCTCTCCTCCTCTCTGTGTCCTTCTGCCCTCCAAAGTTTGTGAAAATATATATATTATGAAAAATTATGCATGAGCTCCAGGTGTTTTGCAACAAAATAAACTGGATCCTTCAATTCCATTTTCCACGGACTTTCAGAAGTGCCCTGGTATTTTTCCTTTTCCCCATATTTGAGAGAAGACAAATAATCCTTTAAATAAAGAGGGAAGAAGCTCCATTGGCGGTTGGAGATCAAGAGTTTTCCTTTCAGCTTCCTGGGCAATCCGCTGTGTCATCAGAACCAAGGAGACGGGGCCATGGGCTCAGTGTGTGCCCCATCCCAGCTGGGGCTTAGGTGGGCTGTCAAGGGGGGAACAGGCAAAGCTTGTGCCCCTGCTGCCTTCTGTGCAAGGGGGGAGGTTCCTTGTCCTCACCCCATTCCGGGGGCCCCCTCTTTCCCTGAAAAAGGACGGGACACAGGGCAGATTCCTCCTCTACCATAAAAACTTTTGTTAAGAAACTGCCTTCTCCATTCCAGCAGGTGCACAGGTAGCTGTTCTGGTAGTGTGCATAGAAAGACCCGGGCGCCGAGTGCCAGGTCAGGGAGTTCCAATTCCTGGGAGGTTGCCGTACTGGTTTCAGACACCGTCCCCCGACCCCCCACCTCTCTGAAATCCCACAAGTGTCCCAGCTGCGCTCCAGGGCCCCGGGCTGTTAACCGAGGGGGAAATCTTTCCTTATCCAATCGCGCCACCCCGCGGACAGCGCGAGAACCGCACGCCCCCGCTCCGCAGGCTGAATCCCCGCGCGGAGCCAAGACGGCCTGGATGCGGGTGGGTGGCGAACCGAGCTGCAATTGCAGGCTCTGGCTTCCTGGGAGGGGCAGCAGTTGTCCAGGCACGAGCCCCTAGGCCCCTTGCCACGGCCCCACCCTCGGCGTCCTAGGTGCCAGGCCGCGGTTGGAGCCGGAAGGCGTAGCTTGCGCGCCCCACTCTTGGTCTCCAAGCCCAGGTTACCTCTGAGGGTCTCGCTTAGACCCCCACCAAGGTCCGGCGTCGGCGCATCGTCTCCCCCTGGCGGCCAGGCGGCGTCACTGCATCGCGCGCAGTGGCCGGGGACCGCCGCTTCTCCGCACTCCAGGGCCCGCGGTCCCAGTGGTGGCCTGCTTGTCCAGGCGTAGCTGGAGCCCTGCCTCGATGGTGGCTGTTAGGTGAGGGTCTTGACTTCCTGGTGCGCCACCAGAATCCCTTGCATCGCTCCTTGGGACAACCTGGACGCCCACCGACCGCGCCCTTCCGCAACTGCCCACCGTGCGTCCACCTGCAGCACCCACGCCGAACCCTTCCGAGCGTGTGCACAGACGATCGCGCCCCGGGACGCCTCGTGGAACCCTCCTGCGCTCCTGGACCTCAGGGCCAGTTTGCAGTTATGTCTGCCCCAGCATAAGAGGGGGGAACAGCAGGTGGCACGCAAGTGCGGTGCGGGGTGAAGGCTTACACCCGAGCGCCAGGAGAGTCTGACGGTGCTGGGGCCCCTGTGGACCCGGGACAGCGTTGTCACGGATGCGCAGCCAGAGTCTCCCGAGGACTGAGCACAGGGCCTGCGGCACGGCGCTGGCGCGCGGGGCTCGGGCGCCTCCTGGCGGCGGAGGCGGCGCGCGCGGGATGCGCTGGTTTCTCGGCCCGCAGGCAGTGCTCTGGCCGGAGGCCTGCAGGCGCGCGTTTCTGCACTGGCGTGGAGGGCGGCGCTGGGGCCCACGCTCGGATGCCCCGCGAGGGGAGGACCAAGGAGCTTTGAAAGACCAGACGGGGCAGGAGCGCAGCGCACACGGGTGCATGCGTGCATGCATGCGCGCGCGGCGTCGGGGAAAGCAATAAACTCGGATCGCTTCCTCGGCGAGATAGCGGCGGCTTTATAATGCGCCGAGGGGACCAGGGGTTTATTTGCAGATCCTGGATAAAAGATGATAGATCGAGACGGTTTAGAGTGTCAGTGCGCCTGGCCTCTCAGGAAGCCACAAGTACACATTTCCTGAAATAGCACCCCACGCCGTATCGGAGCCGCACGCCACTTGAGCGCCGGGCGGGCGCGGGGGCGATGCGGGGCCTCGCTGCTCCCAAGTTCACGGCCGGCTTCCGAGCAGTGGGTGAGGCGGGCGCGCCCGGGCGGCATCTCCCCTATGCGCGTCTCGCCGGGCCTTTGTTTGGCCCGCGATGGGCCTTGATAAATACGTCTGAGGACTGTCGTGACGCTCGGTAAATATTGGATTAGCTTTTCAATGACCAGGCTCTCGAAAAGGCTCAAGAAACCCACACCAGGTCTCCACTAAGCCCAACAGTCAATAGGTAAGGAAAGTAAGTGGCTTCCCCGGCCGGGGGCGGCGAGCGTTTGCGCATCCCGCGATTTGGTGCCAGCCAATCTGGGCAACAGCGCTGAGCTGGCAGAGGGGCAGGGGGCGCCCGCGTGTCGCCGGAGTTGGAATTTCCACCCACTCGGCTGTGCCCCTTAAAGGACTGTGCGCCAGCACCCCAGGAGCCACCTTTGGGGTTTGCCTGTATTTCCACGGGGCTCACACTTTGTGCTGAGTGCCCATCTATGATGGGGGGGGGGGGCAGTGCGCCATGGGAATTCCGTCCTGGCCGCGGCGGGGAGAAGGCGTGCCCCAAACCCTGTCCTGCTCAGGAGAGGTAAACAAAACAAAACAAAACAAACCATCGAGCAAATTCCTGGCACGCCTCTCCGCGCCCCCAAGCCTGAATTTTGCAAGCAGGAGATGTGGAAAATGAAAAGAGGAAGCCCTCCTCCAGCACGGGGAGCGGCGGCTGCTGGCGGAAGTTTCGGCATTGATTTTGCGTCTAAGACACCACTAGGAGCCCCGCGCGAAATTCAAATTCGGCTGTGGCGGGGCGGTCACCGAGTGACCCCGCCAGGCCAGAGTGGCCTTAGAAACTGGCCCGGGGCGAGAAGCCAACTGGGCCCGAGACTGAGCAGGGGAGGTGGGGGTGAGGGAGGGGCGCCCCGGGCCTCTCGGAGACCGCTGCGCTGGGGCTGCGCTGCGCGAGCCGCGGGCCTGGATTTTCATCCACCCAGGAGCCGCGAAGCTCGCGGGCGCTGGCATCCCCGGGTTGCACCGGAGCTCTGGGACGGCCGATTGGCTGCGCCGAGGTGCTCCCGGGCCGCAGGGGCCTGGCGACGGGCGCTGACACCAGGGAACCGCGCACAGTGCGCGCCCGGGGCCCACACCCGAGGTCGCACCGCACTCAGAACCCAGCCTGCGCGCACTGCGGCCGAGTTTGAGGGCGGGGTGGGGTGGTGGTGGGGGAAGAGAGCTCCAGCTCCCAGAGTGTCACGGGGCCTAGGCGGGGCCAGCGCCCTCTGCAGCCGTCAAACACAGGGATGGCTTTTTTTCCCCTCCTCCCTCCTCCTCCCCAATAGATATAGCACGAATTTTTAATGCGTCTTCCTTTCACAGACAACAATACCGGGTTTGAAAGCCGGACACAATTTGGGTTTTGTGCGGGTCCCTCCTCGCGCTCCCTCGGCCCAGCTGGCCATATGGAATCCAGCATGGAGTCCGCGGATGACAAAGGGACCCAGTGACAGGCCCAACAAAACCCCAAGAAGACTTCTGCCTGACTCCGGGATTCACTGCCCCCGATAAGCGCGCTGAATGGTGCGGGGTGGGGCGGGCTCCTTCTCCCTCTTCCCCTCGCTCGGTCCCCTGCCATCCTTTCTCTGTCCCTTTTTAATATGCACGCCTCTAACATCTCCGGCTCCCAGCGCGCGCATTGTGCCGTTTTGTGCGGCCCGCTGTAGATTGGGCGAAGATAGACTGCCCAACGGGACCCCGCGCCGGGCGCGCTCCCAGGGCGCTGGGGTTAGGGCCACACAGGGCTCCGCGGGCGCTTTTATTGACTCCACGGGGACCCGAGGACAGAGAGAGAGAGGCGGGCGCCAGGCCCACCTCCCCGGCTCCCGGCCGTGCCAGCACACGCCGGGTCTGGAGACCTGCGGGCCTGGCCAGCACCCCCAAAAGCACCCTCAACATGCACAGGGTGGGAACCTACAAGAGTTTGGGCCTCACCAGCCTCCGCCTTCCTCCGACACTCATCCTCAGCCCCTGGACGCCTTGGGGCCTGGAACAGTCCAAATCACCCGAAGTCTAGCGGGCAGCCGCCCAGGCCTCTTTACACCCCCTATCCCAGAGGCTCCTTCCCCAAAGGATCAGGGGGGAGAAGGGAAGTCGCAAGAGACATGTTGGGTGGTTGGTGCCCAGGCACAGTGGGCTTTTTAATTACAGCGCCACACACGATCTGGGAGCAATTCTCTGGCCTTTACAAACAAGACACACACGCCCCCTGGCTAGTGTGCAGAACAAAGGGAGATTCCTCAGCGTTTAAGGGGAACTGCCCCCACCCCGCCCCACCCTCCCAGAACCTGGACATAGCCAAGGCCCTTGGCGGGGGAGGGGGTATTAGGAAGAGTGGCCGCTGCTCCATTTTCCAGGGGGGTGGTGTGCAACACGGGAATAAAGTGTCAGCAGGTCTCTGGGCCTGTTGTGCTGAGTGCTATCTACGCGCAGATTTGGTCCCACGGATAATCATGTTTGCTTTAGATACTGAATTAAATCTGATCGTCAACTAGAGGGAGCAGCAAAGTCAGCTGGGACGCTCCCTTTGCCCGGCCTCCTTGTCTACCCCCCTCCTCCCGCCCCCAGCCCTCAGCCTTGATGTTGGAGCTGCAGAAAGAAGCCTGGGAGAGACACGGCTTCCAAACGCGTGGGCCCGCAGTCCCCCAGACGCCTCAGAGCGCACGCTGGGCTCTAAGCCGCAGAGGCGCAGGTATTTTCGGCAATCCGCGAGATGACAGAGGAAAAAGGCGTCCCCCCCTCCCAGTTCGCCTGAGCCCCAGAGACGCTCCCCCGCGTGGTCAAGCGTGCGCCAGCATCCGATAACGAGATCTGTTCCCCAGACAAGATTTGGGATGAGGGACTATGGACGCACCCGGGGTGGGAGTTGTGTGTGTGTGGGGGGGCGTCTGCCTGTCCACTTTCCGCTCCCCCTACCCCTGCCCGAAAAGCCGGGGCGCTCCCACTCCACCTCCGACCTCTACTCTAACAAATCCACGCAGCCGCACGCCCAAGAACTCGCCTGGGGGGGGGGGACTGCGCGTGGCCCTGCGGCACGGGACCCTGTTCCAGGAGAGTGGACTGGAAACCGGAGGAGGATGGAGGCCCGAGGAGGAGGCCAGAGTCCGGTGGCTGCGACTGCTGCCTGCTGCCGACTCCCGCTTCCTGGGTCCAAGGAGCTCAGAGGAAGACTCCGCACCCTGGCTCCGCTGACGGCCAAAGTCTCGCGTGCCCCGCACCCCGCCACCCCGCGCCCAGGCCTTGTAGCGGTCCCCAGGGCCTTGGGCAGATTTTGGAGAGAGGGTGGCGAACAGAAAGGAAGCAGCCCGGTCCCGAGCTCAGATGGTCGGTCACCCCTTCTCCCCCTCCCCCTCTTCTTTAGCGCGAGGTCCGGCAGCCGCAACAAAGTGAAAGTCATCGAGTGTAGTGGCCTCAACAGCTTTTCAGGCTGAAGGAGCCACTCGTAGGTTGGGGCGAGCGAGGGGGGCTTGCTCTCCTGGCCTTTGCCTTTCCCGGCCGGACGCAGCCAACCGCCGGGAGCTCAGCGCGCGAGGCGCAGGCAGACGCCCGCAAGGCAAAAGGCCACCCAGGGACCCAGGCCAGCCGCCGGCGCGGACAGGGCCAGAAGCCCGGCGCTCCCGCCCGGACCCGTGCTCCAGGCTCAGGGTTCGGCCCGTGAGGCCGAGCGAGGCCTGTCCAGGGAGCCCCTCCAGCGACCCCCGGCACCGCCAAGGCCTCTGCGCCCAGAGCCCGGGCGCCAGCAAGCGGGGCCTGGCCAGTGACTTGTTCCGGGCCTGCGGGCTGGCTCCAGGGCTACGAAGTGAGACAAACAGGGGAGCACTGGGTTTGTTTTCTTTCTTTTTCTTCCTTTCTTTTTTAAACACAGGATTTTTATTAAAATTCTTATTTAAAAAATGGAAAGCTGCTAGCGCCCGGCGCTCTGGGGGGACCCGCGCGGAAGCGCTCAGCTCCACGTTCTGGGGCCTGCCAAGGGGGGTCGGGGTGGCTTCTCGCTTACATTTTTTTTTTCCTGTTTGAGAAATGTTTGCACCGAACAAAATAAGAAAGAAAAAGACAAAAAAAAAAAAAAAAAAAACACCCGAGGGGCGTAGGGAGGGGGGTTACCCAAACATAACCAATAACCAAAACCAAAAACAAACCACAAAGAAAGGAGTTGGGCCCGAGGCAGAGCAGGCTCGCGGCGAAGATCATTTTTAGCCAAAACGCCAGCGCTATTTACAACGAAAAAACCGAAATCTGCAACCAGTTGTCAGAACGTTTCCATGGCCATAAATATTGAGCATTTTCTTATTTTTTTAAAAAAAAGGAAGAGAAAAAATCCTCTATTTTTTTAAAGTGTTCTCCACTTGCTTTAGAAGAAGACAGGTGACAACATCGCTACCCACACAAACATATTTTTACAAAATTCACGAAAGCGAGAGGGATGGAAGGGGAGAGGGAGAGGGGTCGGTCTTTTTCTGGTTTTTCAAGTGAGGACGCGCATTTTGTAAACACCGCTGAGGGTTCTACCCCCTCCGGGGGCGCGACTGGACGGAGACTGGGGATCCCGGGGGCGCTGGGTGGGCTCTGCCACCCTAAGGAGGCCTCCCCAGCGGAGCCGAGAGTCAACTCGACTCGGCAATAATAATTATAATAATAATAATAATGATAGCCACGGTCAGGACCGAGTCCTCCACGCCGCCGCCTGGGTGGGGCCCGCGCCTGGGGCCGCGAGTCTCGGCGGGGCGGCGCTCACCAAGTCCACTGCTGGGCCTGCACCAGGGGGTGTGCTGTCGGGTACTGAGGGGTGCTGGCCGAGCTGTACTGCGCGTTGTACTGCATGTGCTGTAGCGACTGGGCGCTGTAGGCCGAGAAGGGGATGCCAGCCTGGAAGGTGGCGGCTGCCAGGTCCTGGGCTTTGAGCGCGTGGCACGGTTTGCCGTCCCTGACCAAGACGGGCACGGCCACCCGGCGCGGCGAGGGCAGGGGCGTCACCTCCATACCTTTCTCGGCCCGCGCGCGCTTCATCTTGTAGCGGTGGTTCTGGAACCAGATCTTGACCTGCGTGGGCGTCAGGCGGATCAGGCTGGCCAGGTGCTCGCGCTCAGGCGCCGACAGGTACCGCTGCTGCCGGAAGCGCCGCTCCAGCTCGTAGGTCTGCGCCTTGGAGAAGAGCACGCGCCGTTTCCGCTTCTTGCCTGCATCCCCCCCGCCGCCCGGGGTCTCCTTGTCATTGTCCGGCGACTCATCAGCCGAGGGCTCCGGGGACTTGGATCTGGAGTCTTGCGGGGGCGCGCCGGTCGCCAGCCCGTGCACTGCGGAGGGGGTGGAGGCGCAGGGGGGAAGAGAAAGGCGTCAGGCGCAGGACCCTGAGCACCTCGGATCCCCAGTGCGCCTCTGGCCCAGCGCGCCCCACAACCCGGCCCAGCAGCCTCCACGGCGATCCCAGCGCTGCTCCGCGCCCGAGGAAGCCGTCGAGGTCTCTCAGGGTAAAGAAGAGTCGGCGGGGGTGGGGGTGGGGGCTCGGAGCTCGCGTTTCTAGGGGTTCGCACGGTGTGGGTGCAGATTTCGAGGCGGGGGTAAGGGAAAGAGAGTAGCGCATGGGAAAAAAAAAGCAGCACCATTGCAGGTTAAGGGCTCTGGCCCCCTTAAGCCGTTTCCTCTTTGGAGAGACGTGGGCAGATTTTTAAAAGAAAAACCCCACAATCCCGGCATTGATCGGCTTGGCCATTGAAGGCAGGTTTTTGGGGGCTTTCGTTTTTTGTTTTTTGGGGCTTTCTGGATATCCCCTGAAGCGCACAAAGCATCCTCTATGAGCGCACGGGGGGCAGGGTGAGCTATTTATACCCAAGCCGCGCGAAGCCGCCCCGCGCTCCATCCGGATCCGGACGAGGCTGGTGGGCCAGGCCCTCCCGGAGGGCCGAGTCTGGGGTGGGGGTGGGGGGCTCCGGCCTGGGCCCCGCGGTCACCAGTCCCTGGGAGGTGGTCCCTTCCTCATTTCATCATTGAAAGAAACCAAGGCTTTCCCCTGCACCAGCGGGGCTGCGGCAGGAGGGCATCGCGGGCCGGCGGTGGGAGCCTTCCCGGGGAGCCCGGACGCGGGATCCGAGCTGACACGACCCCTCCCCGCTGCCGGCCGCAGGACTGGAGGCTGCCAAGTTTGGCTACTCACGCGAATACTGCAGGCCCTCGGTGCTGGCCAGCCAGCGCGTGTAGGGGTTGTCGCCGCTGTCGTAGAAGGGGCTCTTGAGCGGCAGGCTCTGCACCGCGTCCAGGGCGCCCTGCCCCAGCGGCCCAGCCCTCTTGGCGGGCTCTGGCCCCTCGCTCTCCTCCTCCGGCCCTTCGGCCACCGAGCCCTCCTCATCGTTCGTGTCCGGCAAGTCCAGGATGTCCTTGACCGAAAACCCCGTCTTTGTGTTGGTCAGCGACATGGTTCGGGACCCCGCAAAGTTGTGGCTTCACGCGGTCACTCCGTGGCGCTCCGCGGCCCCGGGCGCGCGGGGAGGGGGGAGGGGCGGCCAGGGAGAAGGGGTGGGGGAGGGAGGGGTGGGCTTTAATTATTGGGATAATTATTATTTAAAAAGAGAGAGAGAGAGAGAGAGAGAGAAACAGCGGGGAAGGGGAGGAGGGAAATAAAATAAAGGCCGACCCAGAGCCCGCGTGTGGTCTGCGGGCGAGCGCGGAGCGGACGCGGGAGCTCCTCGGTTTGTAATTCCAGGAGGGGGTGCCCGGGCGGCGTTAGCTCTGGCTGCGGCGGCCGCTGGGCGCGCGGTGGCGGCTGGTGGCGAGGAAGAACTGGGCCATTGCCGGAGCGATCAGTCCATATAAGGCCGGGCGCCACTCACGAACCTGGGGAGGGGAGGGGAGGGGAGGGGGAGAGCAGGGGAGGGGAGGGGGAAGGGAGTGGGAGCGGAGGGGAGGGGGTGGAAGAAAAAGGGGCAGAGACGTTAAAAACGCCAAGGTTGGCCACGTGTGGGCGGGTCTTGGGAGTCAAGTGGATGAAAACAGTATTTGCGGATGTGAAATTGCGGGTTTTGGGGAGCTCCGCGCTCCGGGCTGACGGCCCTCCAGAGCAAGAAGAGTGCTGCGACGTGTCAATTAATTGCAAAGACTAGGCGAGCTGTTTTTTTTTTTTTAACCCAGTATTTACATACAAAGGACCACCGCGTGAAAGGGGCCTCCCCCCCCCCCCTTTTTTTTTTTAACAAATTGCATCTTAAAAAGCTGGGGAGGGGGTGGCATAGAACAAAACCAGACAGACACCAGGAGAAGGGAAGAGAATCGTCCGAGCGGCTCACCGTCTCCCACCTCCAAGCGCCCGCAGCCCAGCCCACCCGCGCGCCCACCCCCCTTCCAGCCCGAGTGCCCCCGCGCGCCCTCGCGAGCCGGAAAATTGGGGAGGGGGAGGGGTGGGGGCCGAGTCGCAGGAATCTCTGCTTCCCAGGACTGGTGGGGGCTCCCCAAACAAGATCCGGTTCAAATGGCAAGGGCCCAACTTCTGTAAGCCCCCTAGGTCAATATTTTGGTAGAGGCTTAAGCATGAGTGGTAGAAGTGACACGGCAAGTAATTGATTCCAGTTAACCGAGGACGAGCCCCGCGCGCGAGAGCCGGCCCGGTAGCCGCCCTGGATTCGCTAAACACTCGCTTATTTCCTGCACCCCGCACCCCATGCACCACACCAGTTCTTCGCGGTCGTGGAGACCGAGCCGTTCGCTTTCTGCTCTGCCGGCCGGCCGGGCCGGGCTGGGCTGGGCCGGGTCGGTGCGAGGCGGGAGCGGGGAGGAGGGGGCCCTCGCAGGCCGCTCTCTGCGGACGGCGGGCAGGGCACACGGCCCCGCGCTCTGCTGCCCTCCGCTGTCCCTCGGTCTCCAGTCCCCTTCCTGCAGCGGCGGGAAGGGAGAGGCGCGCGGTGATAGGCGAGGGGAGGGGGCGCAGGGTCTCGGGTTGGGGTGGGGAACCCCGAGAGTAGCAGGGGCGAGGGCTGAAGGGCGGGCGGAGGCGGCAGCGTCTCCTCCGGAGCGGGTTCTTTCCCGTCTTCTCCTTTTGGACGCTCCCACGGCGCGATCCGAGGACGCACAGCAGGTTGGCCGCTCGAGTTCGGCTAACCGGGAAGTTTGCAGCGTCTCCGCGGCCTGGGGACCGAACTTTCCCGGGGCAGCGCCTCCTCCCCCACTCCTGCCAGATGACAATGTGGCTCCGGGGTGGGTGAGTGGGGAGGGGGGGTGGCTACCTGGTTGCCGGCTCGCCCCCAGAAGAGGGTCCACGAGGGGCTCTCTCTCCCCGGGGGCGGCGCGGAGGGGCAGAGGAGACCGCTTGCGGGCGCCCGGGGATCGTCTCACCCTGGGCCCCCAGGCCCCGGCTGGCTCGGCGCGGGCCAAGCGCAGCGCGCGGGCGCCGGGTCCCTCCTCGCGCGCAGCTGCCGCGGCCGCCGGCGCGCCCCCGCCGCCCCCGGGGTTGCCTGTGCCGGCTGAGGGCGCCTCTCCCCGAGCCGCCCGGCAGCTTTCTGCAGCCCTCGCTGCTTCGCCCCCAGTATGTGACGTGGGTGACAATGGCCCAGGTTGGAGCGAGCCCCTCGTCGGCGCGTCCTGGGTGGTCGGACCCGGGCAAACACAAATACAAACCGATTGCTAAGCTGCGGACAATGAGCGAAATGTAGACAAATGTCCCGCTCCCGTTGGAAGCCTTTGTCCCGGCTCGGTTTTTGCATTTATTTCAGTGGCGAAATAATACATGATTGACGGTCTCTTTCAATGTGCCCTAACTGTTTGGAATAAATCTAAGGTTGTCCCTAGTTGTCATGGCATTCAACCCTTTTCAACGGACTATCTCTTCATTCATTTCTGAATCCGTCCACAGTATTAAGGAAACGCCTTGGTGTCCACGCTTTCGCCTCCTACTTTTTTTTCTTTCTCCTTTCTCCCCCTGCAAGAATCGCTAACTGGTTTGAATCTTGTTCCTCGAACCCATTACTTTTCGTGTTTTCTTTTCTTTCCTCTCTCCAGCCTGTCTTTCTCAGCCTCCCTCCCCGTGGCCTCTTCCTTCCCACTTTCACGTGGGGACTTATTGCCCTGCCCCGTTGGTTCTCCAGGAGCCAGGCAGCCTCGAGTTTGGACAGGGGTGGGGGATGGGAGTGGGGGGGCTGCCCTAGCCATTGTTACTCAGCTGCTAAATAAATAACCCGCAAGGAAAAAGTTCCTCATCCCAAGCATTTGCAAAAAGGACCGTGCTTTTGTCTCGCCTCTCATTCTCTGGTTCTAGGGCACCAGGGCAGCTTTCAAGGATGGAGTCTGGGGCCAGAATGCAGCCCGGGTTGGGCTAGGCCGATGCTTGGGTTCAATGGAGAAGGGGTCTTTCGGTGAGAGGTACCCCTTGCTGTGCACCCGCAGAGCAATCCTTGGAGGGGGAGGTGTCACTCCTGAGATCTACTCCAGAGCCAGTTACTGTCCAATGCCCAACCCCAGCGGCCCTTCCCCCAGCACTGTGGCCCTTTCCTCCCAGGATCTAATCCCCACCCCCTCCCCTCACCCCCGGGGAGCCTTGCAAGGTGTGCCCGGCACCTGACACACAATGGTTTTTGCTTCAGGAACCGATTAAGGGAAGCAGAGTGCTGTCTCAGGACTTCTGACCAAGAGGCCCCCTGCCCAGTTCACCAAGGCAGCTGGAACCCTTGTGTCTCAGCTGGCGGGGTCCCCTTCTAGGGACCCTTGAAGGGCCACCCTTGTCTACCTGCCCAGTCGCCACTCCCAGCTCGGTCCCATCTCTGCAGCTCTTGCTCCTGCTCCAATTTTCCCTCCCCGCCAGGTTCAGGGCAGCAAAACAGGGAGGCAAGGAGCTATAGACGGTGAAGGCCTTGTCTCCCACCACCCAGCCCCGCGCAGCCGAATCCACGTTGCTCAGAGTCTCTCTCCCGGGACCTAGTGAGTCCATTTTCCCCATCTCTTCGTTGCCGTGTTGCTCCCGCCTAGGCTTCCAAAGCGTTAACATTTGCAATTGAAAAGGCACGGGGAGCCCGCTGGGAGGCCCATAATTGCAGGGGAGAAACTGGGCTTGTTAGAGGAAGATCATCAAATACAAGTCCCCCAGGAGCGGCCTTCGGATGCCTGGTGGCCTGCGCAGGGCCCAGCTGGCAGCCTGGGGACAAGTACAGTGGTGGCCTCCTTGATTTCGTGGGCCCGTCCTGAAGAGCAGTGGTGCCAGGTTCCAAATGCACCGATGCTGCCAAGATTAAGCAGGTGACCACACCCTGATGATTCCCCCAAGAGGCCTGGCTGAGAGTGCCCTGGCATGGCCTTGAGGAGAGGGGGGAGCTGCTGCTCTGTAAGATCCAACCCTGCGCCCCCTCCCCCATCTCCAGAGCCCCCCTCCCCATCAGCACCTGCTCAAGCTGGTCTCAGTTCCACTCAAGATTTCTCCAGCAAACTCTCCAGCTCCTGCCTCGCAGAGATTTCTCCAGCAAACTCTCCAGCTCCTGTCTCGCAGCTGAGACACACAGTGTCCTCAGTTCCAGCCAGCTGGGGTTTGCATGTGGGCTCAGCTGCCCTCTGTGAGGGAATCTGAGAGAGCTCTGCCATGGGCCTCCTGCTCGTGCAGACTTGAGGCGGAAGTTGAGGCGGGTGCGGGAAGTTCTGAACCCAGCATGGCCTGGGGCACCAGGAGGACACCTGCTTGGTGCCTGCTCACTGCCCTGAGGAGCACCACGCACCAGAAGAGCTCAATTGCCTTCCCCTGCCAACATACACGTCTTTATTCCCAGCGCTGGGGCTCCAGGTCACCTACACATCTCTAACTCTTCCTACACTTTGAACAGGTGCACTGGGTGGCAGCCCGACGGGAGGTGGAAGAGGAGGAAGAGAGCCTCCTCTTCTCTCTCTCTCTCTCTGTCTCTCATACAGGAGAAACCCCTCTTGGGATGCTGAGTTCACCTCGGCAGTGCTGGGTTCCGGGACAGACTCCAGCTCCCAGTGCAGGCGGCTGCCATGGGTGGTAGGGCTGAATAATCCCAGAGGCCCAGGAGAGGAGGCGAATGTACACAGGCTAAGTGGCCCCACTCCAGGACAAGTGGCCCTCTAAATCCGAACAGTGTTTACCTGTTTACTTTCCCAGGTAGCTTAAACATGAGCGCCTTTTCTGTGCTCGGGTGGGGGGGTGGGGGTGGAGTTGGAGGTGGGGGTGGGGACCTTATTCATTTTTCCTTTGCATCTTCTCACTCCTCTGCATCCAGTTTCTGTCCTCAGTATATAAGTGTGCAGGGGTTGGGGGGGGGGAGTGGAGAATGAACTCTGAAAGCAAACAACCACAAGGCAAGCTAGCAGGGAAGTTCTTTTGTGTGTGTGTGTGTGTGTGTGTGTTTGTGAGTCAAGGCCTAGGCATAGACAAGGGGCCTCTGTCAACCTGCCTCAGATCCAGGAGGCAGCCTCCAATGGCACCCACCCTGCCCCCATCTCTGCTGCTGGCTTTCGGGGTGTTTCTTGGGAGGTGCTTTGCTTCTCCTTCCAGGCTGCAGAAAGCCTGTTGGATAGGTGCATCCTCCAGGGGCGCTCAGGGCAGAGAAAGTCTTGGGTGGGGGAGGGGGCATTTGGGGCTGGTTTCTAAAGTGGGGGTGGCCTTGAGAAGCCTAAGCCCCGGCTGCACCTCTTGCCCTCCCACCCACAAAAGCACCTCCCATCATCATGAAACGCACAAGGTCTTTCCCCTTTATTTGGAAACATGAATTTGTTTGACTTCATTTCATTTCTTTCTTTTCTTTTTTTTCTTGGAATGAAAAGGGGTTGAAAAGAAACTCCTCTCCTGGTGCAGTGTGCGGTAGAGCTCTGGGTCCCTGCACAACCCATCCCAGATAACAGCCTTCAAGTGGGTTAGTTTATTGTCTGGTTAGCGCCAAGGTGCCAGCGCTGTTTGTCTTCATTCACTCCCGAAACAAAGCGTGGAGCACCTTCCTGCTCCAGTCAGGGTGAGCGGCGCCCACACAAAGCTTTGGCAGGAGGAGGAAGCATTATTTTATCTCAGGCTCGAGACTCCCCGGTGTAGCACGCACTTGAAATCAATGCGGGACAGGGAGACGTCGCCTCCTCTAGGGCCTCATGGGACGCTGATAAAAACGTTCACCTTAAACGCGTGTACCTCCAAATCGGCCTCATGGCGGCTTGGGGTTCCTGGTAGGGGAGGCAGGAGTGTCAGCTTTGGCACCGGCGTGAAAAAAAAAATGGAAGAGGTGGCCCAGAAGCACTGCCACCCCAAGAGAGGACTCTTCCTAATCAGAAAACGAAGATGAAGCTTTCAAGCTGTCTCATCTCCACCCAGAAGAAGGAAAACTGAGGTCACTGGAAATTGTGGCCACCTGTGGGGTGGCAGTGGTGGCCTCGGCTGGGGGAGCCTGCAGCCTGTGGATGTGTGACTTTGGGGAGGGAGGCCAGGGCAGGACAGCAGCAGATCTCTAGCAAAAGAGACCCACTGCTGTGGGACAGGTGGACCAGAAAGGCGGGAGGGTTAGTATGAAGGGAAAGAACACCTTAGCCTACTTGGGGTTCAAGATCAAGGTGAGTTATTTTATTTAATTTCCTTTCCTAGGTCCATATCGTGGGACTGACTCTTAAGATTGCACCAGGAGGGGACAATTGTCCAGATGGACAATTCCCCCAGATCACCAAGAAAGAATTGGCTAAACAGGCGTTTCAGGCCCAGAGTTGAGTACTGGCTGAGTCTCGGGACAAACTCGCTCCTGCCTTCCTCCAGGGTGGCAAAGAGGCCAGAGAAAGCTAGGGAGAGCGATGAGTCGGCTGCCCCTTCCCCATCAACTCTGGGTGCAGGAGGAAGGCACGGAAGTGGGCTGCCTTTCTCCATTCTTTCCCAAGGCAAAAATCCACAGTGCTTTCCCAATTGTCTGCCTCCCGCCACCTCAAAGGGCAGATATCTCCCAAGGACATAAATTGTAATAGAAATTAGGATTTCTCTTTTTATTAATCAGTCTCATTGTGTGGGCTTTGGACCCTGCAGTCCTATGTTAGGACTTTGATAAATGTGCTTTAATGAGATCTTTGAAAATGCATCCAATAAAAGAAAAGGCAAGGAAAGCCGTTTAACTCTCACGGATGTTAAACTGAACATAGAACGTAGCTCCGGGCGCACTGCAAAATGGAACCAGCCTCCCTCCAATATTTTCCTTCAAATCGCAGCTATGAGCTGCCCGCAGGCCAAAGGAGCCTGTCCCAGCCAAGCCATTACCGCCGGTTTATGGGGGAACCGAACGCCGCGTCCCCCCGGGGCGAACCCCTTTGCTTTATTCGTTCTCGCGGCTCTAATGATTAAATATGGTACAATGAGATTACGCAGCATCAGCGTCGCCTCGAGGAACGTTCCCCAGCCGAGCCCAGATAAGGGCGAGCACCATGCGGGAGATTGGGGTTTCAGCAAGAAACGCAGCGCTGGAAGCACTTTATCTGAATTTACTTCTCAACACGTGACAGAATCCTTACCGCGGACTTGGGAAAACAAGCGGCCTTGCCTAACGCGTTCGCGTTCAGCGCGCCCAGAGCCGGGCTGCGTAGACTCAGCCGCCGCGGGCGCCGGGGAGCCACGCACTCAGCCTGGGCAGAGGACGAGGAATGCGCCGCGCGCCGGGGGTCCTTGGGCCACGGAGTCCGGGGCGTCTCGGCGCTCCGTCTCTGGTCGATCTCTCCAGTCTGGGCATCCGGGGTTCCCCCGATCTTCCCCGGACCCAACGGCCCCTTCCCCTACCCCCCAGCCCAGGCGCCGCCGCGGTGGAGAAGGCGCGAGGCGCGCCTGTGTGTGTACCGCGGGGAGGGGGCGCCCCCAGGAGACCAAGACCTCAGCAGACCCCACCCAGGCTCATTTCTGATCCTCGGGCGATCTCTGCTGACTCAAAAGAGAACTGTCGGGCTCCGGGCGCGGCCCGGGCGACGACACTCGCCCCCCAAACTCCTGGCTTGAGTCCTCTCTCCAGCGACCCCTATACCGGTCCGACTGGACGGGGCTCCCTCCACTGATCCTCTCGCTCCTCAGCCTCTCTCGACCCCCGCCACCCTCCACGCCAACCCGGCTCAGTCACGTCCCAGTTGCGCCCCAGAACCCCCTCTCCTCTCCCAGGCGCCGCCGGTCTCCAAATTATCGTCGCGACTCTCGCCCCTGCCTCCACCTCCCCGCCCCAGGCACGGCGCAATCGGGGGAGACTCACCCGGCGGCGGCAGGTGCAGCGGCGGGCCCTTCCTGACCGCGGCCCCGGTAGTCCGGGAGCATCCCGGCACCGGGCCGCGCGGAGGAGGCTGGCGAGGCGCGCGGCGCGCCCGCTCCGCCTCCCTCTGCCGGGCGCTGCGGCGACAGCCCCGCTGCACATCCAGGCGCGTCTTTATCTAGTCCCCCACCTACCCGGGCCCCCCTGCCGCTGCGCCCTTCCCCCCACCGCGCGCCCTCCCGGGCGGGGCTTGAGAGTCCGCGGCTCTCCAGGCGGGCGCGGGCGCGGGCCGCAGCGGGCTCTGCGCCCCTCCCATCATCTCCCCCCCGCCCCCCACTCTCGTTCCTCAGCACCTGCCCAGCCTTGAGACAGTCCCGCTTTCCCGGGCAGTGTTGGGGAGTGCGCGGCGACCGGGTCACCTGGGCTCGGGGACAGGTAAAACTTTTCCTGCTGGCAGGCGCGACAGGTAGGGTGAGTGGGCGGGTGGATGGGAGGACCTGCTCTTTCTCCAGTGAGCCCCCTCCCACCATGACTTCCGTCGTCCGGAGAAGACTTCGGATGTCCCGCACTTGCCCACCTGATGCTTCCAGACTCCGCAGCTTGGGGGCTGAGCCGAGTCGGGAGCAGCGAGAGGGAGGAGGAGCGCGGGGGAGGACCCCCGAACCCTGACAGTTCTGCGGGCACGGCGGGGGCCTCGAAGCACCCCCTCCTCTCCGCTGGCCCGCGGGCCGGGAACCGTCCTGGAGCGCGTTCCGGCGGCTGCCGAGACCCGGCCGGGAGGACTGCGGGCAGTCCGAGTCCACAACCGGAGCTGGAGCCGCGGGTGCCCCATCGCCTCCACAGGGCTCGACCCGGGTCCCCGCATCCGCCGAGGACACGCACCGGAAACGCACGCGAGCGGGAGGCTCACCTGGAGCGCGGCTGCGCCGCGGGAGCCCCGCCTCGGCGAGCGCGCAGATCCCCGGCCGCGGCGTATCCCGAGCCGCAGGCGGCCGCGGAGGCGCGGGCTCCGGCTGTGCGCGGCGCGGCCAGCGCGCGCTCCCCCGCCCGGCTCCCGGCTCCCGGCTCCCGGCGGAGGGGGCCGCTCCCCCGCGCCGCGCGCTCTGTTTGTTTTCCTTGCCCGACTGACGTGAGTCAAAATATTGGCCATATGTTCAGCGGTAATAAATTGGGTACGAGCGCAAACACACTTGGGCTTGGATGGCTCTTTCAGCTGCCACATGGCCCGCTGGGAGGGGAGGGGGCTTCCACCTGCCTCGGCCCCCGCCCCCCAAAACGCAGGGGTCTGGGTCTTCCTTAGCGGCGTTCTGAGCCGTAGAGCGGGACCCCGGCTCTTCCTTTCCCTCGCCCCCTCCTCTCCGGCCTCAGCGCCCGGGACCCTGCAGCTCCTGGCGAGCCCGGGCTGCTTGGTTAACAAGGTCGCCATCTATAAATTGCTCGGTCGCTAAGACGCCATAAAAGCAGAGGGCCAGATGTGGCACGTTATTTATGTGTGAAGCCGCGTTTACACTAGATACGCGGATCCGCGGCCCGGAGCAGGGCTTCGCGGGAGGTCACGGCCCTCGCGCCCGGCACGCCGCGCTCCCGCGACGGAGCGGGGTCGGTGTCCCCGGGGCGGCAGGAGATTCAGCCCAGGAAGGGCGTGATTGCGGGACACCTGTGCCAGGGTGCCACCTGTGCAGGATTAGAGACCGCCTCTGGGGGCGATTTCTGCAGCTCGCCTGCTCTCTGCTCCACGCACCCCTCCCCCCTTTTTTAAAAAGGTCTTTATTTTCTGATCTCTCAACCCTGAGGGTGGGTGGGATTTGAAGGTGGAGGGCACCCTGACTTCCAAGGGGTGAATTTTTTTTTTTTTGGTGGCGTGGAGGCGGCAGACTCCAGGGGAGCAGGTCACCTGTCTGAGGGCGCCCCTGAATAATGACTCCTGACACCTTGGAAGCCCTGCGTCCCAGTGTCTCATGCGGCCCGCCTGGTTTAAATTACACGGCAGCCAGGGTCCTGGGAGAGAAGCGAGAGCGAGGGAGCCAGACAATGTGTGTCGTGATAGGAAACAATTATTTTGTTTTTTTCTCCTCATTCGGGCAGCCTCGGGCAACTGGTCCCCTCGCACTTTTTTACTCACATGAATTCATTACAAGTCATTGTCTCTCCCGTGCCATTATTTTACTATTTCTTGAAGTGAACCAAATTCTCTCTGTGGTTAATAAGCACTGAGCCAGGCCCCCTGCCTTTCTTTTCATCTTCAAAGCACCTGGGGTTCCCTGAATGACAGCTCCCTTCTGGCCAAGGAAAATAAGAGATGGCAAATGCTGGCCTACTGCAGGGAAAAACATACGCATTTGCCTTTTACTATTACAACTTATCCTGGGTCTGTGTTCACTGGATGACTGTCCTTAGGTGGCTGTTAAGGGTGGGAAAATGTTGCTGTTTAGAGGAGGTGGGAGAGAAGGCAAGCACGCAGGTGGGCTGGGAGTGGGCAGGAGGACCCCCATTCAACAGGTGCCAGAAAGTTCCAGAAAGGGAACCTGCTCACCTTCAATGCGGGGCACAATGGATGTCTCTCTGGATTTGCTCTCTGTGGCTAAGGCCATGTGAGCTCCCAGCAATCTCTAGTTAACTGCAGAAAAATCTGGAGTTGTCCTCAAGCCTGCTGGAGTTGCTGAGCCTGAAACACAACCCATGGTTTTTTCCTTGCACCTGCTAGACAGCAGGCTGAGGTGCAGGTAAGGAGCTTAGAGAGCCAGAGTGTAGTGGTTCTGGGTTGGAAAAGTGAGACACAAAGCAGAGGATGCCTCAAGTCAGGCTTTAGATTGTTCCTTATTTAGGAAATGCTTTGTCTTAAAAAAAAAAAAAGCCTATTTATTTGAAAGGCAGAAACAGAGGGGGGGGGGGCTATTCCCCAAATGCCTGAAACATCAAGAGTTGGGCCAGGCCAAAGCCAGGAGCCAAGAGCTCAACCTGGGTCTCCCACATGGGTGGCAGGGACTCAAATACTTGAACCATCACCTGCTACCTCCCAGGGAATGCATTAGCCAGAAGCTGGACTCAGAAGTGGTGCTGGGCCTCAAATCTACGGGATGTGAACAGGCCAAGTTGTATCTAAACTGCTCTACTCATTGCCCGCCCTAGGAAACATCACTTAAGGACAGCCAATGAATGTGCCAGGCCACCCAGTAGGTAAGGGATAATAAAAATCCACTACAAAGATGCAGCAGGAAGCAAGATTTAAATGAAATGCTACTGCTTAGATACAACTCACATGCCTTCTCTTAGTACTTCTCTTAGTAATCATTTTCCAGTCTGGGTTAAAGTAGATACACCAAGCACCCTCATGAACTTGCAAATTGCATGGTCTTTTCTGCTATTATTACTTTAGAAACACTCCTGTCCTGTCCATGAACTCAAAGTTTCTGGGCTTTTCACCCTGGGAGGACCTTTCTTGCACAGGCTGCTAAAAGTGTGGCAGGCATCTGGGACTGCCCCGTTCTCAGAACTCACTGACAACAGACTGAAACAATACTCCAGAATGTTTTGAGCTGAGCTAGAATGTAATGGTGTTGTCCACCAAAGAGTCACACTGTGGTTTCTATCCTAGAGAAGTTCTTTGCTTTTTATAGCTGCTTGGGTGGCTGCATAGTTGAACCACTCAAGGAAGCAAGGCACCTTGCTCATGCTTTGGGCATCCTGTGTAGAATCCAGATGGGCTCCCACTGAGATAACAGCTGAAATGGGCTCTGGGGGAAGCCTGTATGTCCACCCCCCAATAGCAGGGCTGTCTGGAAGCTGTGTGCATCTGTACACAGCATCAGATGCACAATGACATGCTAAAGACAGGCCACACCCCATGCAGTGTCCTCAAACCCCATGGAAAAGGCAGGCTGTGCTTGTCTGATGTGGAATCGTGCTTTGCTTTATTGGGAAGCATGAATAATGTAGCTGTTGAGTTTTTTCCTTCAGAGCACAGAGCAGAAGTAGGCTTCTGAGGCCCCTGGACTCCCAGAAGCCAAGGGTAATACCACTTCCCTCTTATCTCAGAGAACCTCAGTGAGCAAACACCAGGACACAGATTCTTTTGTGAAAAGACTTGGCCAGCAGCTGCAGAATTGGGTGACAAGTGTCAGATCTTCAAGGAGACAAATCAAAGGCAGCTAGAGACCCAAGGGAGATAAGTGGTGGCCAGGAGTGGGGGGTGGGGGAGGATGCAGAGATGGGGGCAGGTAGAGATGGGAGGCTTCTTTTTGTAGACCCCTACATGGGTCGTGGGAGTATTTGCACAACTTTATGAGTATATGAAAAGCCACTGAATTGTATGCATTGAATGGAGGAACTGTAGGTGTAGGAATTACATCTCAATAAGGCTGTTTCAAAAAGCAGTGTGGGGCAGTTGTTTGGCCTGGCAGGTAAGAAGGCACCTGCATCCCATGTTGGAGGGCCTGGGACTGAGTCCCGGCCACTCTGCTTCTGATCCAGCTTCCTGCTAATGTGCGCTCCGGGAAGCAGCAGGTGACGGCTCAAGTAATTGCGTCCCTGTCACCCACATGAAAGGTCTGATTGAGTTTCAGGCTCCTGCTTTCAGCCAGGTCTGGCCCTAGTTGTTGAGGGCACTTAGGGAAATGAACCAGTGGAGGGAAATCTCTGTCTTTGTTGGCTTTTCTGCCTCTCAAATGAAAACAGAACAAAACAAAACAACAACAAAAACAGCAACAAAGCAAAACGGAAAAACATATGCATGTCTTTATCTGGACTGGAAGCGAGCAGGGGATGGAAGTTCTGGGAGACACGTGATTTTAGGTGGTTTCTGAATGCCTTAGGGCATTCGGATCCGCTGAAAAGCCCATGAGAGTATTTCAGGCATGGAAAGCCAAGACACTCTGGCAAAAAAAAAAAAAAAAAAAAAAAAATCAAAAAACAAAACCACATCTAAATGAAAGATCTCCACGAGTGAGATCCCAGTGAAAAGAACGGGTCATCAAAGAAGGAGGTACCTTTCTCTGAAGGGAGGAGAGAACTTCCACTTTGACTATGATCTTGTCTAAATATGATAAGAGTCGGTGAACTCAAAAGGCTTCCATAGCCTTGGCAACTCATGACTGGAGCCTAGGGTGATTACTGACGCCATAAACAAGAGTGTCAAATTG